TCTTCGAAGCTCCCATTATACCTGTTATTTACTTTTTCATCACCATAACATACGTTTGAGCATCAAAATTCAACTAATATGAACGAAATTTTCTTAAAAAAATACTAGCATTTCTGTTTATCACACATTCACAATAAAAAATAACTTAATAATTAAATTTATACAATACGATAAATTATAAAGCAAAATATCCAATGTAATAGAACCATCAAAGACGATAATGAAACGACAACTTCCAAATAAATTCTCTATTTACCAAATATTTTCTAACAAAATTTATCAACGATTTCATTGGTTAACTGAACTGTGAGATTCTCTAATTGTTAAGCTATCTGAGAGAGAAATGTTCAGATCCTCTAATTGTTAAGTTATCGAAAGGGGTAATGCCCATGGGAATTCAATGAATTCGATACCGGTTGGCGTCGAAGAGATTGTTTGTAATTAATACAATATTCGAATATTGGAAATATAATTTGGTTTGTTGTTTATTTGTAAAAGAAAATACGGTAAGAGAAGTAAAGTAACACATTGTGTGTAATTTTATGTTGTTTGTTTTTTGTATTGGTATATGAAAAACTATAATGCCGGCAATCTTAAAGAGAAATAAGTGTTATGTAAATAAATTGAGCTTATCGAGTACAATCAAAGAATTGTATTTCAAACTAAGAGTTTTTGAAAAATACCTCTACAAACAGTTGTTTCCGGCTTAAATTTAAACTCACAACTCCTTGCTAGTTGCATTTACAATTATACCTACTTCAATAAACTAAAGGCCTATTTTTCCAATATCTGATAAATTTGATTTAAGCAATAACTTTGAGGAATATTTGACAATTCTTCCATACTAAAATCTGTTAAATGTCAACTTTATTTTACAGTTAAAATTATCTGTGTATTTAAAAAATCACCTTAAGCCGAGTAATTCTTGACTTTCAACGTAAACCTGTAACAACCACTTCTTGTACTTTACATCACTGTACTAAGTAAAGAGTTAATGGTTAAACGAGAACATTAGCGCTAAGTGTACCTGAACACGTGGTAACCTCTCACGTTTTTACTCCTCTGTGCCTTTTATTTATAAGTAAAAGTAGGTACAAGTACTAATACTGCTTTACTTATCAGTTTTGGGAAATAAGGACGAACATTGTAGGTTATTTCCAACTGACTGATCTGGAAGTCATTGGAGAAGGGAGTCATTGTGGAGGCCCGGCTTCAAAGCCTTGAACACAGGCATAAGGTTGTAAGCTTTTCTGTTTTCTACTGGATACATTTCGGTGAGTGTGCGGGGGAATTGCACAACTTGATTCCCTTAGTCCTTTCCATCATCGTACCACAAGACAATCAGCAAAGCGTCACCGATTCATGGTAGATGTCCCATCTACATGCACGAAGCGCTTCGCATTAAGTTTCCTTGAGCGTACTGCTAAGGAGTGGAATTGTTTGCCACAGTCTGTATTTCCTGAAGGCTATAACCTGGGTGGCTTCAAGGCCCGAGTGAATAGGTTGCTTTTGGGACGACGTGCTTCATCATCGCTTACCACCAGGCGAGATAGTAGTCAAACATCGACCCACCAAATATAAAAAAGGCCTATGTCCTGTAGTGGATGTCTTGTGACTGATATCATGATATTGATACTGTGTCCGAATTTTACTTCGCACTATTGTCTATTATAGCTGATTAGCAAGTCAATTGGTGATGGCAGTGTGCGGGAGAGCCATGCTTCGGTACAAACGGGCCGGCTCGACCGGAGCGATAACTAACGTGTGTTTCGTCGATTGAGTGAGGTTACCGAAGGCCTAATGGCCTGAACCTTGCCATTACAGTCTAAATGACGATGATGACGATATTGTTATTCCTGATGATACGATAATAAAATGGATAGAAAATTTAAATAAATACCTGAATTAGTTTTTGACTGCTTCGTTGGCCGAGTGGTCGCAAGTGCGACTACCGAGGGGTCTCGGGTTTGATTTCTGGGTCTGGCAAAGTATTACTAGGTTTTTAAAAAAGTCTCAGTAGTAGCACGGAGTCTGGAATTGTGCTCGGTATATGGAAATAGGCTCACCCCCTATTACATGGGACTGTATGTATTTTATTAAGTGTATTACAAAGCTCATAGAGTCAAAAACTACATAATATTC